ACATCCGTACCCACCAAAAGGACCAAACCATCAAAAGGCCGAGTGCTTTCTGCAAGGAGATATCTCGCGAGCTCGAGCCATTGGTCGCTACCAAAGTCAGGGCTACCAGTACCGGTCTCCGCAAAATCATGGAACCTTAAGTTAACCCTCTGGCCCAATTGAGGAGCAACTCGACTTCGAAATGCCTCGGCATTGAGTGCTCCCATTGTGTACATTTGAACGTCGGTGGGATCCTCTGCAACGCTGGTGACGGTGCCACCACAAGAAATAACGAGGACTATTGGGGTATCCTTCAATGGGGCGGCTTTTTCTGGGGGTCCTGTCTCCGGGGCTTCTTTTGCTATTTCCGCGGCCATGTTTTCTTCGAGGTGAACGTATGGCGTGAATAATTGAAGGGGCAATAATCAGCCAGTACGCAGGATCGATAGTAAGTTTGGTAGGAATTAACCGCAGCTTAGCCAGCTGGTTATACGTTTCTTCGTTCCTTTCAGAGATATCCGATGGCCAGGCAGCCCATGCTGAGTCCCCTGCATAGCAACCCCTGCTAAGATAGACATGAAATGAATAGCCTGGCATGGCTATCATGCACCTCCTTATTCTTTCCTTTTTTTCTTTTTTCTTTTTCCTTTTTCCTTTTTTTTTTTTATTTTTTGCTGCAGAACGGGGAGGGTTTAACTCTCACCACTGAACTGTGGTCCGCGTGGTGTACGTCAACAGGTTTGACTGAGATTCAGTGCTGAACGTCATCAACAATGGCCGCAAGCCATACAACCTCCAAACGTATAAGTAAATGAAACGGTTTGCTAAGTCCCCGCGCTATCGTACACGGACAACGGTCACTAGTCCACATCCCCGCCGTCAATCGTTCCAATATAGATGGCTTTTGGATGAAAGTGGAAGCAATATTATATTGAGACACAGCAGGAGAGGCCGACAAGATCACGACGAACAGTCCGTCCGCTTCTATGTGCCTCGCAATACCTACGAGAGCAACTACGACTCAATTTTACAGGGGATCAAGTCAGGTAGTTTGCGCATCGAGTGGCGGAAGTCTCCAAAACAGTCTCGCCTTTTAAGTATCTAGGGCTCTAGTTCCCAGGCGCAGCATTACATGAGTTTGCATGCATGCTACGTAGATTAGCTATTGCGTACCCACTGTTAGAAATAGAAAAAATAATGGAAGCACGGATAAGGCAATTGACTAAACATCCTGGCGGTGAGATTTTGAAAAGCCAAAAGTCCCGGGGTGAGACCCCTACCGTTTGGTTGGCAGTCGTAATCCCATAGTAAGGGAAAGGGGGGCCAGGCTAGCTATCATATTCATTACTTCACTCCCCAACAAACTGCGAAGACAAACAGGTTCGGGCCTGGTCCTCTCACAAAGCGATAGGAGAATATAACTTTTCCGCTATTGAGTATTAAATCCGGTTCTTGAAGCTGGCCGTATCCGATCCTGCCTCCAGCTCTCCTAGTCCAGTGACAGAGAGGCCAGTTAGCTGCACATCACCAGGACGGCGGGCAGGCGGGGCTATTGTCCGAATTAGTGAGCTCAGGTGTGCTGACGATCATCATCTCATTAGGACCCCTTTACGCTAGCTTGGGGAATACATGTGTTGGGTGATACTTCAATCAATACATAGCGCGTCAGATATCCGGCATGGATACCTAGTGCCTGTATGCAGACACAACGCATGCAACTAGTGCAGCGCGTCCACAATACTCAGCTACTGGTGAACGAACAGCGCCACCACTTCCCAAGCAGACGGTGGTCAGGTACGCTGAAGTACACTGACAACCTTCGCCTAGGCCAAGGATGCGTACTGCACAGAGTGGTCAGCCAGGCGTTGGGACTTCTGACACAGTGTCGTACACGAGGACCAATACATCGGCTGGGCTAGCTAGGGTACGTTCAAGAGGTCGAAAAAACGTATTGACTTAGATAGAGAGATTAGTGTCGCCACCACCCAGTTGAGAAACCCCGAACCAGCGGCGATGTAAGCTGCCCAGGTAGTCCCCTGGCAAAACCCGATATCGAGAAGTACACCCAATTTTTGCTATTGAAAGTGGGTCTACGGGAGCGGTCCAGACAGCATCCGTAAGCCACAAAGTCTAGTATCTGCATGGGTGCACCGACCGGGGGGATGATCGTGTCTATAGTCTGATGCCGAGAAATCACCAACAAGCCCTTTCCTCTCATGGACAAGCGTACCTGTCGTCTGTCACACAGTCCCTAGCAGGACACTGCGCGAAATTGGTGTGTCATTGGAGATCTCTACACCGACTGGCCAACCTGGTGGCTCTGGCAAGCGGCGCCAACCCCACCCCTCCGGGGGGGCGGCTCCTTTGACGTCGAAAAAAAGAAAAAGAAAGAGATTCTAAGCGGGCACCACCCCGGCTTCATCCGTTGGTCGCTACCTCCTGCAATACACGAAAGCAGTTCAGGCCAGCCGCAGGCATAGTAATGTTGCAGGCTGCATGGAAAACGGAACATCCGAGGCTGAAAGCGGCCCAAGTATCGGGAAGAAAAGCTGGAATGCTCTGTCATAGCGCGGTCACGGAATGGACCCAAGATTGAGACCCAGCGCCATTTCGTACTAGTGATCGTAAATCAGCCACTGCGGAAAGACGCAGACAAGCTTGTCCTTGTTGTCCCCGTCGAGACCGTCGTAAACGGGAAAGCAAGAGTATCGACAGCGCTAACGTCCTCATCGTGCAGAACCGAGCTCTTGGGCTATTTAGCGTGTGATATTCCAAACGTGCACATATTGTCCACTCTGCCCCAGCCTCCTTATAAGTCCGTCAACTTACTTTGTCAAATTACTTTCTTCACCGCATACTTGTGCAAGCAGCCTCACTTTCCTTCTATCTTATCAGCGTTTGAGCCCAAGAAACAGAGATGTGTAACTATATCTATGTGCGTTGCCCCGTACATGTCATTCTTATAAGTCCGTCAACTTACTTTGTCAAATTACTTTCTTCACCGCATACTTGTGCAAGCAGCCTCACTTTTCTTCTATCTTATCAGCGTTTGAGCCCAAGAAACTGAGATGTGTAATTATATCTATGTGCGTTGCCCCGAATATGTCTCTTTCTTATTTCCGTTTGTGCTGACCTCGCCTCAACAGAAAGAGCTGAGCTGTCAGCACCATTATCACTTGGTTGAATCATGGTGCTCGAAGTACATTGAAACAGAGCGACGCTGTCCTCCAACAATTGTCAGCAAGCAATATTGGTTTGTTTATATGTGATTCCAACCATTGTGGTCAATTGCTGACCCTAGCTTTCACAAAGGGGCGATGACATTTGCTGTATGTCCCGCCCCCTCCCCCAAACAATTATCCCGCCCCGATTCTAACATCATCGCCGCAGCTGCTTGCCGTGAACGCCAACAACCGAGTAACCATCCCTGGGCGAAACTTATTCAACGACCTTCGCCAGAGATACCCGGTTATCCATATCGCGCGTCCGCTCCATGAATCAAGCCTAATAAAGCCTTGACACCCCTGTGTCTCTTAACTGCCGTTTCATTTACCATTCCCCCGGACAGGTATAATACGAGGTGGCTGTATTTCCTGGAAAGTTCTACTTCTTGTACCGTCGAAATTGCCTGCATGTTCCTTCCTCTAAACGGCTGGTCCTTATGTTCTTCTCAATTTTGAATTCGTGTCGAAATCTCGGGCAACGCTTGCACAAGAGACTATATTTATGAGAGGCTGAGCCAATTTTTGTTTAACATATGGGTGCCGTACAATTGTCCATCTAAAACTAAAGAGGCAAGGGGGAGAGCAACTCGGCTCGAGCTCACAGCCATATGGTTGCTGCGTGGCAACTAAGGCGAAATAAATTTTAATTTACATCGGACTGGTCTGGCACTGAAGCTCGTGATAATATTAAAAAAAAAAATACTATAGCAAGGCTCTTGTATGAGCTCTGATTTGTTCAGCTCTTTTCACATTGGGGTATTGAGATTTTCCGCACGGATTCTGACCTGCCTTGCCAGCATCATCACGCACAGACTTGTCTCGGGACAGACCCTCTCCCTTCCCAAATTCGGGAGGGCAGGCTTCAGATTGCCCGCTGAGTTCGGGGAGGTTTCAGGTCGCCGTCCGTCACGTGCCATTACCTCCGCTTGGTGGAGCACCCGGAATTCAGGTTTAGGGTGGAAGCCATGCTCAGATCTGCGCCATACTCAAATATTTCTGTGTCCCCGAAATCCTAAGCTTGTTGCCTGAAATGAAGACAACTATGGATATACACGTCGCCGTGCGCCAGCCTCCCAGAAGCCTCTCACACCACAATGAGTTTGCAGTGTGAATTGACCGCTTACCTGAAGGACTTCCTCACACAACAGTGGACACGGAAACAGCTACCCAGGGGCCTTGAGCAAGGTTGGAAGGACTATTTGGAAGACCCAGGAGCCAACAGATACCCCGGGTTGAAATCTTTTTTGGCCGTCCGTCTAGGCACAATTGAAACTGCGAGCCACTACGAGAATCGAAAACCGAGGGGTTGGCTCGCTAAGAACTTGCAGCAGCTGTCACGGGATGAAGTCCAAGAGATTCTGTCCAACCTCGAGCAGACAGTCCCGCATCCTACGGTCGCGAAAGTACTGGACCGAATTATGGCAACATTCCCACCAGGCATACGTAGGTTACTGGAGATGCTCCGTACAACATGAACTAACGAGACGGTATCACGTTAGAACGGCCTGCTCACGTAGAGCATCCCCCGATACTACAAGGACAGAGCACGACAGTCACAACTCCCGGAAATACTTCCGAGGCGAGAGATCGAGATTCTCGTGATAGTCCACACGCTTCGAGCGACGTCGACCTCGCAACGAATATAAGATCCCAACAGCCAGCACTAGCTGTTACGGCTGGGCAAAAGTTTGACAACGGTTGTCCTAAAGGTCTTACCATGGTCTTTCCTCCATATATCTGTAGTGCTATTAGGAAAATTGGTTCTGCGGATGGCACCAAAGCCGCGGTCACGATGATATTTCCATACCAGCAAGACGGAAGTATTCACTGCCTCTGTAGCTTGAG